TATATATATATAATGTTTTTTAATTTGTACTAGAACATTCTTTTACTTTGTTTTAAGTGTATGTTTCTCAAGTAAACAATTTAGGTATTTTTCCATACCTTTTTCTTTCTGATGTAGACTTCAGGTTAATTAATATTTTACTGCATCTGGTAATGTATTCTGTGTTTGAAGCCTAGTGACTTTTCATTTTGATGTTCTTGTGATTTCATATGCTGTGTTCTCCAAGCAATAAAATTCTGATGTATTTTTTAAAAAAAGAAGATTCATAAACACATTGCATATGCATGAGAATGTACTGTGGTGGCAATAGCCTCTTACTCTCTACTTGCCTGGAGCTAAGTTCAGCCCTCTATTTGCAGAGTAGACAGAATATTTATCAGAACTAAAAAAGAGTAGAAAAAAAGGAAAAAGAGAATGGGGAATTTATAGACAAGAAAGAATAGCTGCCTGTATGACAGTATTTACAGTAAATGCTTATGAGGTGTTTCATTTGTTTCTGTGGGTAGGTAGTTTATTTTGGTTTTTGGTTGTGTTGTGTTTTGTTCGTGGGTATTTTGCCTGCATATATGTCTTCGTGTCTTGTTCATGGAATGCCCACAGAAGCCAGAAAGGGTAATAAGCCCTTGGAGCTGGACTTACTGGGTTAGTCATCTAAGCCCAGGGTGGGTAGGTTTTTTGTTTTGTTTTTTTCTTTTTGAGACAGGGTCTCAACTTCAAGCTGGCCTCAAATTTTCTTCCTGCCTCTACATCCCAGCTGAGGTTACAGGTGTGTCAGCACACACCTGATGCTGCTACTCACTGTGATCCCCGAGACTAATTGTCCAAAGCAGAAGTCTCCAGAACATATATTAATAATTGTCTGAGGGCCAATGAAACAGTTCAACAAGTAAAAACACTTGTCACACAAGCCTGGTGGCAGGAATTAGATCTCTAGAACCCAAAAGGAGACAGAAGGAAAGAACTCACTCCACACTTTCCTCTGACTTCCACACATATGCTGTGGCACTCATGCCCACATACACACAATGCATACATATATACAGAATGCACATAATGCACACAAATGCCCACAACTGTATGCACACATGTGTACACACATGCATGTACATGAGTACTCACTAAAAAAAAAAATTACTTGGCCAAAATTGTTAACTAATGATATAAATTAAACTTATAAGTAAGGAAAATGGGCTTTCAAAATAATAAAGCAAGTCTTTTAAAAAGCATACAATTATATCATTAAAGATAAAATTAAGTGATGAATCTCTCCCAATGAGATATTTTTGCCTTCTATCAATCAGTAACACCATAGTTGACTGACACTATAAGAAAGAATTATGGAGAAAATTCTGAGGCTAGGAAAATATGAGTTTGATATATTAATTATTTGGGTATTTGTAAAAATAGACAAAATCACAGGGCAAGAACTACAGCTGAGTAGACAGAATACTTGCCTACCATGAGCAAGGCTCTAGGTTTGATTTCCCTGCACCACAAAAACAAACAAAAAAACAAGACCACAACCCAGCCAGAGCTAACATCTATCTTTTCTTTTCTGCCACAAGGGGGATCAAACCCAAGAACTAGAGTGTGCTAGGCAGGCACCCTACCAATAAGTGACATTCCCAGCCATCAGACTAATAGTTGTGGGGTTTTTGCTATGGTTTGATTTTTTTGTTTTGCTTTGTTTTCTGTTGAATACTAGCTATGCCAACAAGCCAGGAAACAAATATATAATAAGTAAAAAATGTACAACTTTATAGAGTGAAGTTATCCTCTGCAACAGAACACTGAGGCAGACCAGCATGCTAAAGACTATAACAAACAAAATAGATAAGCAGTTACTTACAAGGAGTTCCTCTGCAGGCTTCTTCCATAGTTACCCTGACGTAGGGTTTACTAAAGTCAACTTCAATTTCATCAGAAAAAGGAGCCGGCTGCCGTAAACCCTGAACAAGAATGTGACAGAGAATTAGGTAAAATTCAATGACGTACACTGAAGTATTTACTCAAAATAACAGCTTTAAAGAACAGCTAGTCAACGATGTGCCTAAACCTTTCTAACACGGAGAAGTTAAAGAAGTATTCCAAAGTGAAGAGTGACAGTTGCAACCTTCTTCAGGTTAAGTAAACCATGGCATGAAGAACAAATGTCTTTCTGGTGACTTCAGGGTAAAACTGAGAAAAATACCTGGGAACCTAAACACAGCCCCAAGAAACTGGGTCTGGAATGATGGCTCCCCTGCAGCATGGTGGAATAGCAAACCTTGGACCCTGTGACAAAACTGCCAGGGTTTCTAAGTGCATTTCATATTGCTTCAACTAGAGAGCAGGCAGACAAGCAGCTACTGAGTAAAACTGCGGCTGCTTAATGCTTTATACTGTATCTTCAAATACTCCCTGTGAGGCAAGGAATACTACAACAGGACCCTCTATTTATAGGAGGAAACAAGGATCAGAGAGTTACGAGAACTATATGCACTAAGAGGCAAAGCTGAAACCAGAATGTGTGTGTGTTTGTCTCTCTGTACATGGCTTCACTTGGGAGGCTTTGTTCAATTTATTCTTAAGACTTTATTTCTATCAGATGCTATATGAATGGAATCTTTAAAAAGCTCTTTGGTTAGGGCTGGAGAGATGGCTCAGTGGTTAAGAGCACTGACTGCTCTTGCAGAGGTCCTGAGTTCAATTCCCAGCAACCACATGATGGCTCACAACCACCTTGAATAAGATCTGGTGCCCTCTGCTGGCAGGCAGGCACAAGACTGTATACATAATAATTAAAATCTATTGAGCTGGGCGTTGGTGGCGCACGCCTTTAATCCCAGCACTTGGGAGGCAGAGGCAGG